TTATTATTATTATTATTATTATTATTATTATTATTATTATTATTATTATTATTATTATTATTATTATTATTATTATTATTATTATTATTATTATTATTATTATTATTATTATTATTATTATTATTATTATTATTATTATTATTATTATTATTATTATTATTATTATTATTATTATTATTATTATCATCATCATTATCACTATTATTGACTTAACTTTTTTTTTTGTTGATTTTGGGTGACAAACTAGATAGACATATTGCGATAATCAGGAGAACGAATAGATAACTCTTTCCATGTCAGATGTTTCCGATTTAACCCTGCAATCTAAGAGGAGAAACGGATCAAATTTATTGTTCTGTTTTGAGGCCAAAAAATACTCTTTTATAGTGATCTTCTCCAAGAGTTAAAATTAAGCTTACAATTGAACAAAAGGAATCGCTCAAAATGGAAGGGACTTTTTTAGAAATAAAATAATCTTTTACGATCATTTTCTCTGCAAACCTAAATGGCTAAAAATTATAAAAAATCTAAAGACTGTAAAAACCTGGAAATTAAAAAATCTTCATGAATTATAAATTACAAATCAAACTAAGTAATAATAAATTGCATGAAACTTATAAAGTAAACAGGAAATCAGAAATACTGGTTGAGAAGGAAAGACAACGGAAGTGTTTTATTTGAGCTTCCCTTTCTATCTCAATAAGTTAGGAAAAGAAAATATGGGGTATGTGTAACAGAGCACCGATATGCATCACTGGGATATCTCAGGAGAGAGATAGTGATGATGTGGTCAAATCCGGAAAAAGCTGTGGTCCATGATATTCCGGAAAGAAAAACAAAGGGACATACCGCTTCCATACTAAGATAGTTTTTGCTCAGGAAGAAACCATTTTCATCTATCCATACGGCCAACCACTTTTGCCTTACGGCTCGTCCATTGGTATTGTGAAGCACGGCGAAGCAGTGGTAAAGAAACGTTTGCGCATCATAGGGATATCTTGAGGTTTACGTGGGTACGTGGGTTTTCAAGCGTTTACGTTCGTCTTATCGATAGTGTAGTTGCTGCATTGAAGGATATTGAAGTGTTATACTCGTATTTCGATATATTTAAATAAATAAATATTCTCATAGATTGTTCGTCTGGCTAAGTTAAAGGAATGAAAGTAAAGTCGAGTTCGAACGGTCGATTAAAGGTTTGTTCACTTTCGTTATATCTATTGAATATATTAAATATTTGTCATTATTTTGTTTACCGTTGTTGTTATCCATTGTTATCGAGCTTTTATGAATTGCATTTATTGTCCATCTTTGTTATCCTTCTACTTCTTCTAAGTTTTAGTTTGATCCCATGACCGAATATAAACAGCAAACTTCATGCAGTCATGCACTCTGTCCTTTTTGTACACTTACCATATATGGGAAAATTTTTGTTGGCGTAATCTAGAAAATTGTACTGGAAGAAAATATGCCTGGAAATTTAATAATATTAACAAATACAGTGATATTAGCAAACATTACTAATAAAAAGCCACTTCACTATAACTTATACTGTTTGAAAGAAAATGCTTAGCTGACAAAAGTAGCGTTTAACTTTAACTGAAGTTTAACTGAGAAAAAAAAAAGAGAAAAATTTCTATGATTAATTCTGTAGGAAGAAAAGACATAACCTTGTGTCAATAGATTAATCTTTCAGTATGTGTCATTCACGGATCAGATCGCGAAAGTAAGTGTAGATATTGCTCGATGGCATCGCTCAATTGTAGCTACTTCAGCAGAAAATGAAACTCATTTTAACGATGCAGTTACCAAATATCAAGATTTGGATTACGGCTCATTCTTTGGTAAGATTCACCGAGAAATTTTTCAATAATATAGTTTGAATGAGGCAGTTTTTGGCGCTGTTATTGATTCTGTGAACAAAGGTTCAAGTTTACTTGATAATCTTACATGCAGTTTTCACAAATATAACTCGTGCTCCTATTTTTATTGCCTAATACATTTAAATGAGTGTACAACTTCAGAGAGCTTCCTGAATGATATTCCATATTTCAATGGTGAATTACGAACATATGCACAGCTTCTTCATCGGAAAGATATTGTAGCAAAGGCTTTAATTAGTCATTTAAATATTTCGGAGAGTACCTCATTGGGCACTTTGCTGGAGTAAGTTCATTGAATAATCATCAATGGACGAGATATTTTTTGATACTTAGTTCTATATATTATAAAATGTTCAGCGAACTTGTTAGAAAAGTTTCATGAAGTTAACTTCTTCCTGTTCTTTGAACGAGATCATCTCCTGCTCATTTTTTTAAGTGAAATGTGTGTCAGAGAGCTGTTTCAGGTTGACGACCGCATTCGTGCAAGATATAAGGGAAGACTTTCGAAATTACATATGGGAATTTATAGAAGCTATAATAGGTATATTGGAAAGGTCGCACGAGGATAGAGAAATTCTCGAAACTGCCTTCTTCACATTAGCGAAGATTTTTTGGTTGCAGCGGCAACATCTTGTCTGTGAATTGCATGAAGTTTTCAGGTTAGTTATCTCTTGTTTAGAGTTTTCCTGTTTCCTGCTTGATGTCACATATTTAGTTTGTTATCTATATCCGAACTTTTATATTAGTTTTTAGGCGTTTTAAACGGATTTTATGCTGTAAAAGATCCTATTTACGCCGATTCACTGCCGAAGCTGTTGCATTTTTGTTACGGAAGTCCAGTGCAGTCGGAAAGCTTACCGTATTTTTGGCTGAAACAGCATACAATGTAAAAATTTTATTTGTTGATAATTGCAAGGAAGTAGGTCGGCTGATCTATGTTTTTAAAGCATCCAAAATTCGAATAATTAAAATTGAAATATCTCTAATTGCAGGAGACCAATAATTCATCACTTATTGATGGCATATCTCGACTATATTTCAATGCTCTGAAGATTACTAAAGGACACTTTCACAGTACAGCTCCGCAAGCAAGTTCTTTGTATCGACTTGATTTGTTTCCTTCTGTTTTCATGCTCAAAATACACAGCAAATGCAAAAATTTTGACTAAATTATTTACATAATGTCAC